GAATTATATAAACTAAATTACAAAGAAAAAATTATTTATTTAAAGCATATAAGTGAGCTCTAACACTTTACCCAGAATTGTTTAGAAAAAAAATTTAAAATATTTTTTTTTTCTTCAAAAGCAATTGTTTTGTGCCAAAACAAGCAGAAAGTTTTTTGAATCCTTCAAATCAGATGTTTAGTTATATCCAAAACTGAAATTTTTTGCACATTTAGCTCCGTATCCCCAAAGTGGCTAAACCTGCCTTTGCTAAATACTAATCATCAATTCTCCCCATCATTTCGAATTGAATGCTTTTTGGACCATTCAATGCTCGGATGCTCCGTTCTCTCAAAAACTCGATTTCTATTTTCTGCACTCTTTGCTCCGTATCTCCGAAACGGCTGGATCTGCCTTTGCCAAAAACTAATCAGCACATTTCCCTATGAATAGGAATCGAATGTTTTTTAACCATTCAAATCGGTTGATCCGTGCGCCCGAAAACGTGAACGAAAAATTGCGGACACACAAAACACACACACACGCACATTTTCTTTTTAGGTATGCCAGAATGTTCAGAAACCTCTGAAACGTGAAGATATGCAAAAAATTTTATTTTCAAAATTAAAGAGCGCCAAGTCTTGTCTTTTTTAATATGATAAGAATAAAATAAAGGTAAGGAATCAAACGCAAATGTACTTGCACTATGTATTAAAGCATGATAAATTTAAACTGCTCTGAATAATTGATATTTTAGCAGTATAATCTTAGCGTGCAAAAAATAAAATAAATTTAAGTTAATGAGACATGTTTAGTAGCCTATACGTATAGACAATAATTTTTCTTTGTACTTTGTATGTAATAACTAGATATTGGTAAAAACATTAGTTGTTCATTCCATAGCAAATCTACCTATAAGTGATTTTAAACTTTTAAGATTCACTTATAGTAAACTGCTACTGATCATATGTAAATTTCTGAATTATTGTGCGCGCGTGTAGTTTCCCATGAATATAAATATAAAGTAATAAGATCAAATAACAAAGTGTAGCACATTTTTTATGAAGATACAGCATCTTGAGACGCTAACAAAGAAAACCAGTTGCCAGTTAAATGAAGTTGAACATGTTAATACGACAAAGATTAATTGCTATGTTTAATTATTCAACTTGCAATCACCGTAATTTTAACGCCAGAGTACATGCTCAGGACGTGTAAGATGAAGCGCTCTCATTAACCGAAAAAAACGATGATTTTTAGAAATTAGCAGAAAGACAATGTTGGCAGAATCTTGGGATCAAAATTGAACGTATTTTAAATCGGTTAAAAGAAACAACACTGTAAAAAGCTAAATATACAGGCTTTATGCAGGGGTGCTAGGGGCTTATTGTAATAAGAGTAAATAGTAACAGGCGATATTTATTATAATCCTAAACGTAATTACAATTTTTTTTTTTTGATTAGACATGAAAACTGCATAATATTGTCATAGCTACTGTTCCGCAGACCGATGCAGTAAACAGAATTGTGCAGGTCCGTCATTTTTACCAGGTAATAATAAATTGATCTATTATAATATTCGATTTGTGTTATTATTATCGACTAATTTTAAATTTTGAATATTTTATTTTGTAACAAAATCATCAATCTTTGATATTGTTAATTGTTAAAATATTAAAATTGATTCATGTAAAAAAATCACACGTGGAATTAGTTGAAACAAAACTTTTAGGATATCAAAGTATTTATTAATTATTAGTATAATTATTTATATTACCACTACTAGAATTATTCACTTCCTTGAACATTTTGGCATACCTAAGAAAAAATGAATGTGTGTGTGTGCATGAGTGTATTTTGTATGCTTGCATTTTTTCGTCCCCGTTTTCGGGCGCACGGATCAACCGATTTGAATGGTTCAAAAACATTCGATTTCTATTGATAGAGAGATGTGAAGATTAGTTTTTGGCAAAGGCAGATCTAGCCGTTACGGAGATACGGAGTATAGAGTGCAGTAAATACAAGTCGAGTTTTTGAGAGAACGGAGTTTCCGATTTGAATAATCTAAAAAACATTCAATTTGTAATGATTGGGAGAAGAGGTGATTAGTTTTTGGCAAAGGCAGGTCCAGCCATTTTAAAGATACAGAGCTAAATGTGCGAAAAACTTTCAGCATGTTTGAACAAAATAATTGATTTTGAAAAAAAAATTTTTTTTGTTTCCATTTGTTTTCAATTTTTTTTTTTAAAGAAATTTTTTTGTTGTATATTAAAAATTATTCAGATTTTAATTTTAATTCTGACTAAAGTTCTAATATACTTCAAAAAAATATTTTCAACTTTGCAATTCAGTTTATATAATTCTTATAAATATTAGACAATGTTAATTAATTTAAAATTGTATGAAATAGCAGTAGGTATCGAAAAATAATGAACATGTACACTACAGCCCTACAGTTTAGATACCAGTTACAAAATCTGCTTCAAATCTTTTCATTGATCCTCAGAGTACAAATTTTATTTAGTCAATAAAATGATCTCTATCACTAATTATCTGTTAGATTTTATAAGCATTACTAATTAAGTATCCACGACAGTTTAGATGTTATCTGCTATATATTGCTTTATACTATATGGATAAGACTGTTTCTTAAGAAATACTTAAAAAGTTCCTTTAAACAGATTTTATATAGTGCAATAAAACTATAAACATCAATTTTGCTCCAAAAGGAATGCGCCACGCGATAGACCCAGTTACAAATTAGTAACATTGGCATTTGTACTAAACTATTTAGATAATTATTGTTTTTAACCAGACACAACAAATCAATTGAATATATTAACATCAAGTTATTCATCAATTAAGTTTGTAAAGTTCTTCTCTAAAGGTAGATATTAGTCTTATTGATGATTAAGTTTAAGGTGCACTTTCCAAATTTGGAAAAATGTTGTCTTATTTATGTAGTTCATTAGTTATGTAAGACTTAATTCAGAGGGCGTCCATTAATCACGTTAGTTTATTAGGAGAAGGGGGAGAGGGTATAGTAAGACATCATGTGTATTTAATTTTTACTTGAATTTAAAAAAAAAAACTAAACATTTTAAAAAATACTTAAAAACACGATCACGTGACTAATGGACGCCCTCAGAATTTTTTTTTTTAAATTGCTCATAAAATTCGATTCTGTAAATTTTTCTTATGAAAGCTCAGAAACTTGGATCATATTTATCAAATCGTAAGAGTGTTAATTTAAAGTTGGGACCAAAATATTGTGCATTTGTTATATTTGACCTTTCTATCCTTTCTGGACAGAAATTAATATAAAATGTTCGCTCTCAATTTATATATAAGTACTTATATAAACTTGACATACCACATTCAATTATTGTTTTTGTCTTGAAGAATGCAGTTTATAAAACTAAATAAAACAGGACTAAGGAAGCCCACGGATGTCATGCTCGAGTATAATTTCTATTAAAAGTCTTGTCATTGATATAACATAAAATCTCGAGAGAAAAGATTGAATTGGTTTTATAAGATAAAACATTATGTAATTCAATATAAAGCAATTTTATTTACGATGCAGTACTTCTTCTTTGTGAAATGTAATTATTCACATTTATAGAAAATTAATATTATTTTGGAAACAGTGTAAGATTATCCAGAGAGAAAATGTTTGTAGACGCTAATATTTTTTTGGTCTGGTGATATATTGCCAGATGAAGCGTAAAAAGTCGAAAATCTTGAAACGAATTAAAATTGAAAGAAATCACTGCGTGCTATATTGAGTTCTTCTGGGTATTTTTTATATAACAATTTACTTAAAAAAATTATTTCTTGTGTTAATATTTATTTTTCAATAATTCTTGTATGAATAAAATGAATTTCTTTCTACACTTTTATTGCTATTTTTAATAGAATTAAATTTACTATGTTGAATGTCAAATCAAGTTCAAAATCTGTTGCAAACACATTGACAATTGAGAACTTTTATCAAGTTTCTTCTGGAGTGCTAGATTAAAATTCCTAAAAAAATGTATGGATCAGAAAAGTTGATAAAGAAGCTCAAATTAAAATGACTATATACTAAATTAATTAAATAAAACTAACGACAACGATGAATCCAAAAAATGTGTAGTTGTCTTTGTTAAACACATATTAGTAGTCCAATAAAATCAAAGCATTTTATTTTTTTTCATTGGAGAAAGATTATTGCATTTTTATTAATCCTTGTATAATCCTTAGGTGTTACAACGCTTGATTATAAAAAATGTGGTTTTTGTTTTGCCAAGGATAAATAAATTAATCCGTACAGAGGCGCCAGCATAAGTTAAGAGAACAAGAAAATCTATTATAATATTTCTTAGTAGGATTATTTTGATGATGAACCATCTTTCAAATATAATGTGAAAATTAAGAAAATAGGGTGATAGATTAATCATGTGCCCGATAGTCATTTCCAAATCTTTTTTTTTATTTATCGGACTTCTAAAAATGAATCTAAAAATTATTCCAGGTTGTGCCTTTCATTTCATAAGTTCAGGTAACATGTAAATCTTATAGGTAATTAAGAAGATATTTTATTAATTTGAAATTTTGTTTATTTTTAGGTACAAATTCCAAGGATTGTCGGTATTTTTTGTATATTTTTTCCATTATTTGTTATTGTTATTTGTTACTTCATCATAACAATATCACATACCAATATTTTCATTTGTAGTTTTATTCACTTGCTCATATCAAAGTCTTATCGGACTCTTGATAAAACTTCATGAAATCTTCTTTAACACAAATATTAAAGCATATTTACAATTTGATCTTATATAACCGATGATATTTACAATCCGATCGTCAGATTAAATCACTAATCATCTGTTATCTACATAACGAATATAATTGCTGTAAATTCCCAATATCAAAATTGATATACATTAAGATTAACATCAGCAAATATTATATATAAATGTGTTTAATATAAAATGTGATATTGGATGTACTAGTTGCTATTTAAAAATTCAACAATGTATAAACAACTAGGTTTAGTTTTGATTTTTTCTGTGATATACACCAGTGCTGTTGCACCAAAACTTAAGTAAGTTAAAATGTATCAAAATCTTACGTGCATTTAATAATTTTCAAAAAGTGCAATTCAAATCTTAGTTAAATTTTATAAATCGATTCTAGTTTTGAACTTATCAAGATCTTTATGAAAATACATAAATTTTCTCTTCTAACATAAATAAATTTTATTATCAGTGCTAAGGTGTATGAACTGAATATACAGAATGATCAACAAGCCCAAATAGTTCTATCATTTGAAGGAAAACATGGTTTTGATATTTGGGAATTCTCTAAAATCTCAGGCCAAAAAACTCGTGTTATGGTTTACAATGAAAAATGTGATTTGTTCGAAGAATCTTTACGAGCTGTCTCTTTGGATTACGAAATAACCATAAACGATGTGGCGAAGTAAGTACTTCTTTAGGCAGATAATTCAGGAAAATAAGAATTAAATTTTAAATAATGTGTTTGTTTGTAATGTTTGTATCCAACAAGTATATAAAAATAATTACTATTATAGAACACTCGATGAAGAAGTTTCAAGAAATTTGGAGCTTTCAAGAGCAGAAAAAGGAATAACATTTACAGCTTACCATCGTTATGGCGAGGTAAGTGTTCCTTCAAACATATTGTTTGCAAAATATTGATTAATTCTATTTCTCATTCCTGTTTCAGATGATCGAGTATATGAGAAATTTGACTAAAACATATCCCACTTTAGCAAAAATCGAAAATGTCGGACTCAGCTATGAGAACCGCACAATGTACGCCTTAAGAATAAGTAATAGTACATCTAATAAAACCAAGCCTCAAATATTTATTGATGGAGGCATCCATGCCAGGGAATGGATTGCTCCTGCAGTCGCTCTTTATATAATGAACCAGCTTCTAGAGCACCAGGACCAAAATAGAAAATTAATAGAAGTAGCCGACTGGTTGATTTTGCCTGTAGTTAATCCTGATGGGTACGAATACACGCACACCACGGTAAGTTGGGTAATGAAGAATATTAATCATTCCCAAATGAGAAAATAATAATTTATATTGTTTTGCAATTTTAGAATCGTCTTTGGCGTAAAACAAGAAGCATTTTAAAAAATACAACATGCATTGGGGTAGATGGCAATAGGAACTACGGTCACCATTGGGGAGGACCAGGTTCGAGCAATGACCCATGTTCTGATGTCTACAGTGGTGTGAAAGCATTTACCGAACCAGAGGTCCGTGTAGTACGAGATCTCTTGCTTAAAGAAAACAGCACAAAAATATATTTGACTTTACATAGTTATGGAAATTTGTTCCTGTACCCATGGGGCTATACCACAGACCTCCCAAAGGATTGGGAACGTTTGCACAAACTGGGAACGCAAGCAGCTTTGAAAATCAAAGCGGTTAATGGAACTATGTAAGAGTCAATTATTATCTCCAAACCTCCTCCTAAATAATTTGTTTCCAATTTTCTGAGTTTTCATTATATTTCTAGATATACTACTGGCAGTTCTGCATTAGCACTTGGAATGGCAGCAGGCAGCAGCAGAGACTTTGCCAGAGGAGCAGCAAATATCTCCACGCCTTATACAGTAGAATTACCTGCAGGCGGTCAATCAGGCTTTGAACTACCACCTAGCAAAATCTTGTCTGCATCTCAAGACATATTCGCAGGCATAAGATATTTAGCAGAAAATATTAATTCTTAAATTATAAAAGATAAAATATTTACCTAAAATCCGTAAATAATCTGTGTTGATGGCGGGTGGAGTATCAGATTTATCACCCACCAGCCGCCATTGTTTCAAGTTCTTGAAATACCTAATAAGTGAAATATATTTTATGGTTGAATTTAGTTTTATTTAAAATGTGTACAATATTCTGATGCCAAGTTGCGTTTCTGCGCATCGCTTATAAATTATATGCTGTGAGTTTACATCGAGAAAATTTTCGAAGTAAAACTTCTCTAGGTAGTCGCGCCTAAGGTGTAAATCCGAACAAATGCAACGGAAGTCCGTTACGCCCAAGGTATTCGTCATTCACTGTCGATGAGATCTTTTTCGTACGGGTCAATTGTGATTAGTCGTCGTGTATGTGAATAGAGATCTGCCCTTATATGCGTACCGGCATCAACGTTGTATGCATACCGATATCAACAAGGAAATCGGCATAGATAAATAAACATTTCAAAGTTATATCATAGTACAAATCTTGATTTAATGAAAAATGTCTGAATCAGAAGAATATTTTACCGTGTTTCTTGAAAGTAATAAAACAAAATAAAGATTTATGCCATGTACTTAACGTAAGTTTATTGATTAAAAATTATTTCTATAATATTCGTAGTTTCTATAAACCTTTGAAGTTATTAAAATGGAAAATAATTAAAGACAGATATTACAGCTGTTTAAAAAATGAGTTTATATCGCCAGCGAAAAAGTAAAAAAAAAATACAAGCTGTCATTGAATGTAAGTTAATTTTAATTACATGAAGTTCTTCAAACACAATTACATGATGAGTGGAGTTGCAAAAACAGTATTTGTTTAGACGTTGTTTTTTTGAATTTTTGTTTTGAATGTTTAAAACAAACAGCAAAAAAGAGTCTTTGGTTCTCATCGTTATCGTTCAATAAATAAAATAATGCCACACTTAAGAAATAATAAAAAAACAATCCAACAAAAGTAAAAAGTCCGAAGCGAATAGTACATCAGCTTAATATAATCTCCATCAGCGCGTGCTCAGCCACGCGACAAAAAAACGTGGCGTTACCATTTTGTAGTAGGATAATTATTTTTTGTTTTTTCATTATATATTTTCATTATATATTTAATATAACAAAATTGAAAAAAATCCAGTAAATACTGTTTTCAGCATTAATATTTTACGATTTGATTAGTAGGTAGATGATGATATGGAAATAGATTGTTTCTGGTGGAATTTGTTGGTTAGTAACTATGCGTTCACTGAGATGCTTTCGAATTTTTTATAAGGTTTCGTGAAATAAATGCTCACACATGTAGTCCAGTCATTATAGTAAGTTCACCTTCGAATTCGAGATACCCAGCTGTAAGTCTGTAAATACTTGTATATTGCACCCTAAAAGTTGTCTCAAAACCTACATATGATAGGGTGTACGCAATATATGTAGGTTTTGAGACAACTTTTAGCTTGCAAAATACAAGTATTTACAGACTTATAGCTGGGTATCTCGAATTCCGAGATTCTTACCTAATTTAAGCTTAATTGACTACACTAATATTCGATTATACATCTAACACATAGTCTCTAAATATTAAACCAGGCATGTATGAGAAAATAAATTGTAAGGTAAATCTTTTTATATTTTGATAATAATTGGAAATGTGATCATTTACACTGACATATGTTATTGTTGTTTGAAAAATATAATAATCAAAGCAACAAAACAACGAATAATCTAGTGGTGTATGGCATTGACCCTTAAAGCATATTGCTGGAACTTTCCGAACCTTAATGATATACGAGGTATATTTAATGTATTCAAATAGATTATTATAAATATAATGTAACTTCCATTATTCTTATTTTATAAAAAGTAAATAAACAAAACTTAATCAATCAGATTTAAAATGAAAAATATTGTTTAATATTTCTAAGTATTATATAAAATGAATTGCACAGTTAAAATTATTTATTTGAAGTATACAAGTGATGTTTAGAACTTTAGCTAGAATTAGAATTAAAATCTAAATTGATTTTCGATATACAGAAAAATGATATAAAAAAATTCTTTATTCAAAAGCAATCGTTTTGTTAACACAAGCAGAAAGTTTTTTAAACCATTCAAATCGGATGCTTAGTTCTCTCAAAAACTGCCATTTTTTGCACATTTAGCTCCATATCTTCTGGACCTGCCTTTGCCAAAATCTAATCACCACTTCCCCCCATAATTACGAATCGAATGTTTTTTTGGATCATTCAAATCGGTCGATCCGTTCTCTTAAAAACTGTCATTTTTAGCACTTTTTGCTCCATATCTCCGAAGTCACTGGACCTGTTTTTGTCAAAAACTAATCAGCACGGTTCCTCATCAATAGGAATCAAATGTTTTTTAAACCATTCAAATCGGATAATCCGTACGACAAAAAATTGTCTTTGCACATAAACACACACACATACACACATCCATTTTTTCAAAATGTTCAGAAACTTCTGAAACGTGAAGATATGCATAAAAAACTATTTTCGATTTTTGGCTCATTACTATAACTTACCCTACGGGAAGTAAATTAATATTTCATATAAAATTAACCAGAACAAAATATCGATTCTATAAAAAATCTTGCTTACAAAATCAGTGAGCTAACTACCAAATGATTTTCTTTGATCTGCGCCACAAAATTCGGTAAATCGGATTTGTAAATAAAGCAAAACCGCGAAGGTATCAATTTATCCAGACAGGCGTGAAAACACAAGCGCGTCCAGGCGAAAAACCGCAGGAACTCAAATAAACTCATAACGAGAAATCAGGGATTAGAATATCGGCGGCGGGCAATAATACGAGTATATGTTCAATGAAATTAGTTCGCACCAATATGTTTGATGTAATTTAAAACTAACAACGTTTCATATTAAAATGCGGTTTGACTGATTCCGAGAACCAGCTACTCGGCTTTGCCGAGAGACAAGGTTTGACCATCATCATCGAATTACCATCTAGGTGGGTATATATATGATAAATATGAAACAAAGTTTCAGGTTCCTCTAAATAAATACATTGTCTCTGTTATTCAACAATAAAAAACTCTCTTTGATCATAATATAAAGAAATTAATGAATATTAAATTGTTGAATAATAAAAATATCAGGATTAATTTACTTGTTCAAACATAGTCGACGATGTTTTGGTTGAACCATAGTTCCTATGGTTGTTTTCTTCTTTCCATGCCAAATATAGAATTTATAAACTTCCCGAAAAAGAAGTTTGTTTTCATAAAAAAAATTCGGTTTGCTAATGTTATGTTTTCTCGACGTTTCAAGCCATTCTAACTCGAAATTCTTTCTTTCGTTTCTTTCGTTTTTCATTTTTTCATTCTTTCGTTTTCTCGAAACGGCCGGACCGATTTCAAAAATTTAAAAGCCATTCGATGTATCTCGAAGAGGACTATCGTTTGAGCGACGATCTGCCAAGCCCTTTCTTTGTAATTTGAAAAAAAGTGTTAAACTTTTCGTCCACATTTAAGCTCATACTACCGAATCAATTTTGAAAAATCAAAAACTGTTCGAAAGATATTAGTTGGGAATGACACATTAGTTTTAGGTGATAATCTACCGAGCCGTTTTCTTGTAATTAACTGTTGAAAAAAAAATTAAGCCGATTTTTATGCAATATTTTTTTAGCGATATATATCATGGTCTTATAGAACTTACTGAAATATTACGGCCTTACGACAAATCGTTAAATTTTAAAAATTCATCAATATTTAAGAAAATGAGTAGTTTTTTTAACGTTAGCTGAAGTTAAAATTAGACGATTTACTTGTTATAACAATAGAGTACTTGGTCTCAATGAACATATTAAATCATTGAAGTCCTACAAAAACTGGTTCAAACATAAAAATTGTTGATTTTTGAAAATTTGCTTTTAGAAAATACTCCGAGTTAACGTGTTCGTTTGTTTTCAATTATGTGTAATAAACCCACTCGGAATACTTTTAATCACTCATAAATTAATTTATTTTTTATTCATTAAGTCGATTATTTACACATATCGGGAAGTTCATGTAACTTGCCTCAAGGCAAAATACAAATACCAACTAGTTATATATTATACATATATAAAAATTAAAAATTTATGGAAAACCCTGATTACATTTGGCATGTTAGATCTGTTGAGGCGTGAACATCAGTGGTTCTATAATAATGCTGAGATTCTTATTATGCATGACAAGATATAAGACTCGTGTTGTCATTACATTCAATATAAAACTAAGAAAAATAAAATTTTTCGCTTTACCATTGATTTGACTTGAAATTGAGCAATAATTTTTCATTAACTATTATCTTTATTTTCTTTTCTTCAGAAAAAGTAGAAAATTTTAATCCTAAAGAAAATGTAGAAGTCTGCGTTACATTAGCATGCATCCACTTAGATTTTTTTTTATTAATGTACAATTGTGAATTGACTCTTTCTGTGTACAATTCTTTTATTCACCTTTCCACCAAAGATTTTAATAACAAATAACATAAAAGTTCGCCAAAAGCACCTCACATTAATATTTGCCAACCAGAAGTGACATTTACATTTGAGTAAGGTATGTAAAATTAAAACACATGTTTTGATAACTCAAGATTTATACAAATCACACGGTGAAAGCAAAATCCAAAAAAATAAAAATATGATTCTACCTGCCTTTGCTACTAGTATTTATCACTTTTTTCAATTCACCAGATTTCAAAGTCAGATTGTGGCAAACTTTTTAAATCCGACATATCTATTAAAAATGCATAAAATCTAATACGCAGCATAAATAAAAAACAAACATTCGAAAACAAATACAGAAAAAATATTCATGAAAAAATCTCAACAAATTATTAATATTTGTTTTTCGAGATATGAATACATTTATCTCGGCTGAGAATCGTGGTTTATTAATTTATGCGTTCACAAAGAGCATTAGAAATGCATAAAATCAACATATGTTTATGAAATATGAATAAAAATGTTTT